TGGGATTCTTCTTCAGGTTCATCCTCTTCTATATTGTATCCAGACTAATTCTGTCACAACTTAAATGTGACTGTATTTGGTAATGAAATTAATTTCTTCACTTTGCACCATGCACAGTGTGATAGTGACTTGCCATACTCCTGTCATGCCCTTTATCCTTTCTGCCCCATTATCTTGCCATGCCCGTGTCCTGTTGTGTTCTCTTCACCTCTCCTTAATTCTGAGAACATTCCTGAACTCCGCAGAATGGTGAAGTCCTCCATCCTCCAGTTCTTGTATGGCATAGAAAGTGGTTTTCGCCTCTGATGGAATGCATTATACTTTATTGTTATCACTCATTTGTTTGTGTGCCCATTAAATTGTATGTTCTTCTAGGTAAGGATTATGATTCCCAGGATAGTGACTGGCACCTTCTGTAGTAGATGCTCAAGAAATGTTTGTTGAGCCAAAGTATGGAGTAGATCACTGGAGACCTTCGAATTCAGTATCAAACAACAGAATGATGTATTTGTTTGAAAAATGCAAATAATATGTAGTAAGAGCTAGAATCTCAAGTCAGAAGACTGCCAAACTAACGTATAAAATGTTGTTATATAAATCAGTAGGTGTTAGAAATTACGGGTGACATATAAAAAACAGTTATTATAAATGATATCTGTTTATTTTGTATGGAGTTGCTTTTGTTTGACCCTTTGGACCATCACTCATGTTCATCACTGGGTTTTATATAATATTTGCATTAACAGATTCGTATTTCCAAGAAGTCAGATTGGAATTTGGTGAAGAGTATATTGTATGAGCTTGGCATTTACTGCACCTAGAATAACCAGCTCACATTTAATTTATCCATGAATTGTTTAAAAAAATTTTTTTTAACATTTATTCATTTTTTTTAAAGTTTATTTTTGAAAGAGAGAGTGTTAACAAGTTGGGGGAGAGAGAGAGGGTGATACAGAATCCAAAGTAGGCTCCAAGCCCCGAGCTGTCAGCAGAGCTTGACAAGGGGCCTGAACTCCCCAGTAGTGAGATCATGACCTGAGCTGAAACCCCCTACTAGGGGGTCGAATCTCCTAATTGCTTTGGCTGTAGCTTCCACTGTTCTTGACAGTACCCTTAGGCTTGAACTTCTTGCTTTGCTGTAACTAAAATCAGTTCCTTTGTGAAGAGAGAAGGTTCCGTTTTACTGCCTGCTCCTTATGTCAAGCAAACATCTTTTGTGTTGGGTCTGTAACTAGGGGTGGGGACCATGGTAAACTTTTCTTTCGGATTACCACTGCTATAGGAGCTGAGCTCTTAGTGAAAGTGAGGAGTGGTGCAGCAGCCTGTGTTCATCTTAGCTTTTCCCTTTTTGTTTAGAATGTCACCTCCTGAGTCAGAGGCAAGGGTTGTGGGTGCCCCGACAACCTCAGCTTGCCACATTCATGGTCAAGCCTTTTTATCACCAGTGGGGGCTGAGTAGAAGGGAGCCCCAGGCCTTTCTAAACTATACTTTCTTTTTTTTTTTTAATATTTTTTTTATTTATTTCTAGGAGAGAAAGAGAAAGATAGCGAGAGCAGGAGAGGGTCAGAGAGAGAGGGAGATACAGACTCTGAAATAGGCTCCAGGCTCTGAGCTGGCAGTCAGCACAGCCCGACGCGGGGCTCGAACCCACGAACCGCGAGATTATGACCTAAGCGAAAGTCGTGAACTATACTTTCTAAACTCAGCCTGAGCAAAGGTAGTTGGGGGTAGGATGACATGCTGATGGCCTAGCCTTCTCAGGAAGAAAGCCCTCTGATGGGAGCTGTCAGGGAGTGATCCTTGGGTTCCCAGCTGCAGCAGTCTGAGGGGACTCTGCCTTACTGAGCTTGGAGTAGGGAGGGAAGAAACATCTTGGTTTATATACCACAGACCCTTGCCTTTCTTAATGGGTTTTCTGGAATAGATGTTTCTTCATATGTCATTTGCCTTTAGGATCGTTGCCAAAGGCTTTAAATGGCTAGTAGGGTTTTTATAAATAGTTCTCACCAGGGAGTGGGGCCTTTGAGCTCATCACGGTGTCATGCTGGAAGTCCATCCCCTCTACATCGAGTGGTTCTGAAACTTAACATTTTGACTTTTTAATCCTCTCTTCACTCTTCCCAGTATTGCTCCATCTTATTCTTCTTTTGTCCAACTCTACTTTCTTCATTATATTTATACCTGAAATAATATTTTTATGTTTCTATGTCTCCTTCCTTCTGAAATGTTAGGTTTGTGGAGGCAGGACTCCTCATCTGTTTTGCTTAGTGCTGTATCTCCAGTACTCAATAAATGTATATATACTTGCCCTATGGCAGGACTGCGGGGATAGCGGAGGAGAGTACATTCACGGTGCTGTGATGATTCTGGTCTGAGAGAAGTACTGTCATTGTTGTACCTCAGAACACATCCTGCTGAAGCATTGTTGCCCTAGGAAACCAACCTGTGGAATCTTGGAGCTTCTTTCTAGATCACCTCATCAAGCAGTTAAAAGCTTTTAGGACTATGGCCTGGTTCCTGTAATTGAGTAGTTACAAGGTTTCATCCAGTTTCTTTTCGAGGCTCACATCAGACAGCTTGCCACAGTTCCTTAGATCTGGGTAGGAGAGCCTGCCTGTGGCAATAGCAGAAAGCTTTGGGAAAGTATGACTTGACTTGCTTATGAACGATAATCACTTTTCTCATGAGATTATTGAGAGGATTAAATGAGTTCATATTTTAATGCCTGGCATATAATGGAGATTCAAAAAGTGATAACTTTTGTTTTTATTTACCAATTTTTTGTTTGCAGTATATACCAATTGGCAGAAGGCTTTTAGTTGCCAATATCATTTGAATGAAATCTTAATTGAAGAAAACCTATCTGGATGCTAGACACTAAAAATCTGTGTGAGCAGTAATGACCACTAAAGGCACAGAATGTTTCTGAAAACATTCTCTAGCAGAGAATAATTGCTTTTGAGCATGTTTGAACAATATCTAAATATGTCATGCTGACCCCAAAGTGCTTTATGTCTTATGTATTCAAGAATGATTCAGCTAAGAACAGTGGGACAGAGGGAGACAAGTGTTTGTCTCCATACCAGTGTGTTTTGAGGAAGAAACGTGCTGAATGTGGACATGTGTTACGAGATCCCACTGAGAAGTAGGCATCTAGAATGTGAAGTATTCTGTTGCTCATCTTTTGTATGCCGCTCTGAGCTGCTGTGCTGGTGTGTGTGACTGGTAAAGGGGATGGGGAAGAAGAAAATCATACCTTGAGATCACAGATTTCTATTAAACTCTTTTACTCCATCTTAATCTTCAGGACAAATTAGAATTGCAGGGACCTGTAGACATGGCAAGAATTGACACCTCTCTTATGTGCCCAAAGCCGTGCTTGAACTTTTCCAGCATTCACCCTTACTGCTTTGCCAGGCACTGTGCCTAGTCCCCCATGCTTCCAAGTCCCCTTTGCCCCTTCCTTTAGAACAGTGGAATTTCAGTAATTCTGACAAATCCCTTTCCCCACATGTGGTTATTCTTTAAAGGAGGAGGTTCAGTCAAACAAAGAAACCCCACTAGTTGATTTCATTTTAGGTAGTAAAACTAAAAAAGTGGCTCACAACTCTGTGCATAATCATCCTTTTGTGGACTTGTATAAAATCAATGAACTCTGGACCCACTTCTAGACATTATTTTCATTTAATTGATATGTAGGAAGACAGGTTCTCCTGAAAAATTTGTGTGTTCAAAAATGTCTTAGCTGATTCTGATGTATAGAGCTGAGAAACACTAAAGAAGAGCTCTTTGTGGATCGGCTTTCTACCCAGAATGAAAGCTTATCACTCACCTGTTCTTTCTTTGGGAGACCAGCCTTGGTCATAGGGAGGAAGTTCTAGTCTTTTCTCGAAGGAAGAAAACCCATATTCTAGATTACCTTCTTCATATCCCACCTCCACTATGTAATGAAGTATAGGAGGATCCTCTCTCTCCATGTGGAAGTCTGGAAACTTCCATTAAAAGGAGATATTCCCAGTAGAGACAATGGACTTTTTCCCTCTAAGCCAAACATGATCTTGATTGGTTTCCAGTTATGAGTCTTTGGGCCACTGTTTGCAGGGTTTCCTAACCTTTTTTGGGGCCATTGAAATCCGTTAGTCATTTGGTGAAGCTTTGGACCCCTTCTCAAGTTCAGTAAAAATTTTTAAAAATGTTTATTTGTTATTGAGAGAGAGGGAGATACAGAATCTGAAGGAGGTTCCAGGCCCTGAACTGTCAGCACAGAGCCTGATGCGGGGCTGGAACTCACGCATCGTGAGATCATGACCTGAGCTGAAGTCAGACACTCAGCTGATTGGGTCACCCAAGTGCACCTCAAGTTCAGTATTTTAATGTAGAAAGTAAAATGCTTAGCATCCCAAAGGAAACAAGTTATGTTAAAGTACAGCTGTTGACATAGTATTTGTACAATAATATATGCTTCTTTATTGACACATTAAATAACATTTAGTGTTTGGTCTAATAACTACCATAATTTCAAAGTCGATAAATGTAAACAGTTCAAGATAGCTTTAAAAAACTGTGATGTAATATCATAGCAGCTTGTTTCTATTGAAGACAAACTCACAGGTACTGATAATACTGCTATGATTGTTGCTAGCATTCACAATTAAAAACAGTGCTAAGTTTCAGTTTAGGTTTGTAAAAAGTATGTGGTTCTTGTTAACCAAACTCAAGGACACCTGAAAATGTTACATGTTGAGGTTAACTGTATTGATATGTTAGTCTTCCTTTCACAGGTGTGTGATAGCTGTTTAAGATTGTGGTTTTTCCTAATAATAGAGTTTACCTAGTAGTATATTTCCAAAGTCCCTCCTTTGATCCTAATGCTAACCTTGTAATTATCCTTTTTTATTTAGCATTAACTGAGTGTAATACCAGATTTTATTCAGACCATTAACTAGATAGCTCTTCTCTCAACTCCCAGAACACTAATGAAAGTGGTTTGATGTTATAGGAATACAAGCGCAAGTTAGCCAGAGTTTCCCTGGTGCGCAAAGAACTCAGGTCCCGGATCCAGAGCCTGCCAGACTTATCCCGATTACCCAACGTCACTGGAAGCCACATGCACCTGCCCTTTGCAGGGGACATCTACAGTGAAGACTGATGACCAGTCTCTTTCCAGGTCCCAGGACTTTGCAAGAGATGGAGACAGGTTAGGTGGACAGTCCTGTAGCATTATTTTTGTATATGGTTGAGAGAATGACTAACGAAAGAAGTGACAAGTAATTTATAAAATTGTTTAAAATGTTGGTTTGTTTACTATTTTATTGGTAAGTTAACATGACTTAGTTTAAACAAAGTGATGATCTCTGTGTATTAATAGGTTCACAAATAGTGATTATTTTCAAAAGATCTTTTTGTAAATTTTTTTGATCCAGGGCCTTGTGAGAAATTCCATGTTTCTATTTCTTCGTGTATTTTGAAGTATTTTTCTTTATTTTCTTCAGTATCTAATCACTGTATAGTATGTAATTCCTAAGGATGAGAACTAATCAGGAGTTGTTAGAGACTTTATTATGGTATAGTTAGGACTTGATTGTAGAAGGGACTAAATGTTCCAACTTAAACTTCACCCTTCTCCCTGACCAAAATAGCAGTTCTGTGCCTCTTAATGCCTTTGATTCCTTATTCCCTAGAGGTCAGGAATTTAACACTAAACTGAGGGTCAGATCAAAGCTTAGAGAACTTTTCCACAATAATACTGTCGGGGTTCCATTCCAGCTGCCAGTGTAGAATAAAAGGAGTATTAAATAAGGACCCCCTTGATTAAACTATTTAGAATTATTTGAGTAAGTTAATATGAAAATGCTTTGGAAATGTTGTAAAGTTTGGCCTTCTACCAAGAGGACAACTTTGATTCTGGAACTGATTGCTATTTTCAAATCAGTCTCCTTTTAACATAATTGATCCCTTTAACATAAAGCCATCTACGGGATTAAAAGAAACGTAAAATAATGATACTTTTATTATTTGCTTAGCCGTTTAACTTTAAAAACAATAGTATTTTTAGCTCTAATATCTCAACACAATATTCCTTACAGTTCAGTAAAATAGCCTGGAACATTTTTAATGTTTCCTTAAGGTTTTTGAATGACTGTATATTTGGAAACTAAGCAGTGCTACACTACAGGGTAGATCTGGCAAATATTATATTTGTATATTTAGAATTACCAAAACAAATGTACTTTTACCTTTTATTTCTAACCCTGTGTGTTAGAGCAGTTGCATGCTCTCCTGCTTTCTTTTTAAATCACATTGTAAAGCTGTGGATTTATACTCAATAATGACTTAGGATAGACATTTTTTTAATCATTACATATTAGACATTTTTCTTTTCCTTGTAAGCAGATTCAAATTAGATAGTCAATAAAACATCTTTTAAGTCCCACAAGCCAATTATGTCTCTCTAGTCTGAATGGCTTCACTCTTTTTTTTTCTCAATATTAGAAATTATAGCTAAAATGAATTTATATGTGAAGGAGAAGGCAAGTATTTATTTTCGGTAGCCAAAAGTTCTGGAAACAGTGCTTTTAACAGTTTGACCTCTGTCCAGAACATAGACACATATTAGTAGTCCCCATCCATATATGACTTATATTCCAAAGTCTTTTAGTCAACTTTTGGGACTCTGGGCACATTTTCTCACAGAAAGAACAGTAGTTAGGTTTCCTATAAACATGACCACACAAAGGTCACCAGGGAACCTAATCCATTAACCATGAATGTACTTAACTTGTAATGTGGTTGACAGATTACTGACAGATCCTGATCAGCATTTGTAACATCACTCTAACTAAAGAAATGGTGTGCAGCAGCCAGACTCACACATTGTGGTGTCTGTCTGTCTGTTTTGTGTACCTCTGTCCCTAGGTGTAGATGATATAAAAAGAAGATTCAGCATGGGAGTGGTGGGGTAACAAATACAGTTATAAAAACCTAGTTATACCTGTTCTAAAAGTATACCATGTAAGTTTTTGTTGTTAAAGTGAAAGCAAAAACTTGTATATTAATTTATTTTCAGCGTCTTCACCTTATTTATGACCTGCTAAAGTGGTGGTTTATCCATTCAAAATATATTTTTTTTTCCATTTAAAACTAATTTATAAACTATGTACTCCTGGGAAGATTTGAATTCTTTGAAGTTTGTTGGAATATTTTCACCGTTTAAGACAGACTTCTGACTTAGATACTGATTTTAATGCCAGTATCTGTTCTAAATATTTATGATAAAAATGCATTATTTTTTTAAAGAGCTCGATGCAATTTGTGATAAGTGATAGTACTCAACCTGAATCCTGCCCCCAGTCCCACCCTTTGACCAATCCTCCACAAACCTTTAGCTGTTGGTTAATTCACTAACTGTAACCACAAATGATAAGGTCTGGTTTAGAAGTTATCTTTTCAGCCTTACGTTAACATGGTAAGCCTTAGCAGTGAATGGTCTTCCTTTCTAAAAGGCCGACTTAGATTTTCTCAAGAAATTGGGTAAGGTGGGGGTACTATAATAGTATATTTGAAATCATGAGCGTTTTCTCCACTGTGTATGAACATGGGGCAAGTCATGCATCTTTGAGTGCAGTTTGGCCAGGCCCCTCAAGAGAAGTGTGTCCCCACACTTGCCGTAGGGGTACTGTGTGTGGTTTGAATGGATCCCATCACTCTTTTCTCCACAAACAGTGCAGAGAGCTGTCTGGAGTGGCAGTTTGAACAGATTCTCTGGAGTTCCCTCTGCTCCTTCCATCACTACAGTAAGTAAAAGAACCACATGAGGGAACCCAGCAGTCTGAGAAAACTCAGCTGTGCTCAGTAGCCAACCTCCCCCTCTAGGAAAACCAGTCCAGATGCAGCTATTTTGGTACCTCTTTTCACATGCACTCTGAATCAGGGCTTTTCTATAAGAATTCCTTCAGAATCAGCAAAAGCTGGCATGACCTGGTTATCCTGATTTGCAAAATTAAAAGAACAAAACTAGGTTGTCGGTGGTCACTGTAGATGAGCATGTCATCTATTATTAAGCTGGTTCTGAGAAATCTTTAGAAAGAAAAAACTTAAAAGTACACATCAATTGGGAAAGTCAGAATGCCCTTTCTGAATTTTACATTCTACAAATTTGTATTATATGAAATAACATAAAGCTACAAAACTGCTTTGTATTCTATTAAGAAATAGCTCCTAAAGATGTAGTCTTGTTTCATAGTTGTTGCACTATATCAGAGCTTTTTAAAGTGTAAACCCAGTTCTTCTCTGTATAGAAAGGGAGCATTGTGTTATGTACTGAATTTATTTATGCAGAGCATTTGTTGCCATCTCTAATTCCAGCCATCCGCACAGGAGTCTGTTCTGAGGTGGCAGTAGCACATGGGAACATGAAGTTTCCCTGTTAATTTACCCCTTTTTCTTTGGCTGTATCTGATGACAATATAAGATGTTCTTAATAAAGTTTTATGTTGTTTTTGAAATGTGTAGATTATTTCTGTGAATCAGATTGATTGAATATGAGGTGGGAGGGGAGAGATGAATAGACTGGGAAGGAAGCAAGGTGTTCAGCGACTTTATGGCAGAGAAACCGCTGAAGGAGATTCCTTTTGCATGGTCTGTGCTTCCCAAACTTGAGTGAGCACCAGAATCACCTGGAGGGCTGTTAAACTCCAGATTGCTGGGCCCCACTCGCAGAGCTGCTGGGATCGGCCTGATCGTTTATCTTTTTAACAATTTGGTGCCGATGCCATAAGTTTAGGGACGGTGTTTTTGACAACCAGTACTCTCAACCAACTTTGAAATCCATGACTTGCTTCACAATTTGCAATTCCAGGTAATCCGATAATAAAGTATGGGTTTTACAGCTCATTCTATAGCAAGTTTCTTATGCGGGGAGAACAAGATCACCTCTTCTGTGACCTACTGCACAGTGATGCTGAAGTGCTTCTGAGTGAACAGATTCGTTTGGGACTTTGAACTTCCGGAGCACAGGCCCTCACCACATCTTGAATTAGTAGCAGAATTGAGAAATACTAAAAATCTGTGGGAATCTCCAGGGCAGTATTTGCCAAACTTCTGTGATAAGACTCACTTGGGACATTTTCATAAAGGGCATCTATCTACTAAGTCAGATTTTTCTGTGATTCTTACCATCTAGAGAGTTTAGGAAATATCCTCTGACCACTATTCCTGGTTCTCCATTCCCAGAAGGCCCTCTGGTTGCTTTATCTGAATCCAGGTGCTTCCCATTCCCACTCCAGTTTTCCACCTTTGCAGTAGCAGATTTTATACAGTGGAACCTATATCCAAAGACGCTGGTTCAGAAGGTTGGGGATCTAGAAGTCTGCATTTTCAGCAAGGTATCCAGATGATTTTGATGCATGTCCTTCATAGACTGCACTTTGAGAAACAATGCTCTTCAAAGCAAATTGTAGTCTATCATATATAATAATAGTGGTTCACATATATGGTACTTAATGTGCATCAGGAACTATTGTAAGCCTTTCATACGTCCTTTACTCTGATTATTCTACTTCTACATATGAGGAAACTAAGACACAGTGTCAGTTCTGTGTGCCTCTGAACGGGTCAAATGGTGAAGCTGGGATTCACATCCAGCTCCCAGTTTGGCTCTGTGCTTGTGCTTCTTAACCACTACATGATGGTGCCTGAGACACTGATAGCAGCTCCACAGCACCAAATCCATGTTTTACATAATGTGTCAAGCTATAGTGAAATTGTAACATTATGCAAGTGAAAAACCAACATCTTAGCTACAAGCACTACTGGAGGGGGCTTGGAAAAAAATGTTAAACCCAGGTAGCTTTTTGTTTTGTTTTTATGTAACAAGAAATTTACCATTTTTAAGTGTACTCTGGCATTAAGTACATTGACGATTCACACTGTTGTGCAGCCATCACCATCATCAATCTTCAGAACTTTTTCATCTTCCCCAAGTGAAATTCTACCCATTAAACAACTCGGTATCCCTCCAGCCCCTGGCAACCACTGTTCTGTCTCTGTGGATTTGACTTCTCCAAGTATAAGTGGAATTAAAAATATTTGACCTTTTGTGACTGGCTTATTTCACTCAGCATAGTGTCCTCTAGGTTCATCCATGTGGTAGCATGTAAGTCTGAATAGTAATCCATTATATGAATGTGCTACATTCATACAAATTGATAAAAATACAATACAAATTGATAAAAATTTGTCAGCTGACACTTGGATTGCTTCTACATTTTGACTGTTGTGAACGATACTGCTAATGAACATGGGTGTACAAATATCTGCAAGTTCCTGCTTTGATTTCCATTTGTTTTTTTCAAAGGAGTTACTTATATGCACATCAACAAAGTAGAGTTAGAATGAACCATCGATAAGGATATTCTAGATAACATTTAATGAATGTCATCATTATTGGCATGCTGTTAACACCTTTTTGAGACAGAGATTATGCAACTGTATGTCTGCTCTCAAAGTTTACAATCTAGTGGGAATGAAATACAGTGACAACTTAAACCTGCTTCAGATTCTGTCTCCCTCTCTCTGCCCCTTCCCCACGCATGCACACACGCTCTTCTCTCAGCCTCTCTCTTTCTGTGTCTCAAAATAAATATTTTAAAAATTCAGTTCTGTACCTTTACCATGATGCATGAAATCAAATGTGAAAGGCAGGCTCCGGGCTCTGAGCTGTCAGGATAGAGCCTGATGCGAGGCTCAAACCCATGAACTGTGAGATCATGACCTGAGCTGAAGTCAGATGCTTAACTGGCTGAGCCACCCAGGAGCTCCTAAAACTGAAAATTTCAATGTAAGAGAAATCGTTAGAGTCATTAGCTTATTCTGGTAGTCTAGAAAAATTCATTTGTATTGTTTGGTTAAGTTTTTCGTCCTATTCAGGAAAGAAAATTTCATTTTACTTATGGAAGTACAAGTTTAATGAGAGATTTTAAGAGGTTTAAATTGTACCTTAGTACATTAGTATTTATTGTCTTCTTTTCCAACTCTTGATATTTGTTACAAAATCTTGTAGTACTTTCCTGAGATCAAGTTAATAGCAGAGCACTACTGAAGCTGTTGGAACTCTTCTTACCATCTCTTTGTGTGATTCAGTTATAACTCCCCTCAGGTGGGAATTGGTGCCTTGGTTATAGACAGCAGTTGGAATGTGCCTAATGGAGGGAAATTAAACTGTTTTCATGCTTCTTTTTGAGCTGGTTTTGGAGCGGAACAGGATCTCAGGTGAGGTTGATGCCCACTTCCTTTTCCGGTAGCTCATCGCTTTAGATAGTCAAGGCTGAGGCATCTCTAGCCTGAGGCAAATGTCGTTATTTGTGCTTAACATTCTCCCTGTTTGAATTGCTTGTCTCTCCTCTTGGCAAGCTGTGATGAAGAAATACCTACTTCCTTTATCTTTGGTTTCTTGCTTTTATATCCGTTGATGGACAGAACAGTTATGATTGTGAAATTTTATGTCAACAACATAAAGTTCTTACTCCAGTTGGGCATAATTTTCCTCACCGTGAACCAATAAAAGGTAATTGCTAAGGACTGAGCTTCTTGACTTCTTAAAGTAGAATTTTTTCTTAGCCAGCAGTTGCAACCTGACATAGAGGAGGGCTTTTTTTTTAAGGCTAATATCTCTTTCAAAGCAGATGACTTGAAAATATATTAAACAGAAAACCTATCTTCTTGTGTTTTTTTTTTTTTTTATTTTGAGAGAGAGAGAAAGAGAATACCAAGCTGTCGGCGCAGAGTCCAACGTGGGGCTCAAGCTTACGAACAACCCGTGAGAACCTGACCTGAGCCGAAATCAAGAGTTGGGTGCTTAACTGATGGAGCCACCCAGGGGCACCTTTTTTTATACATAATTTTTTTGACCAGAAAACCTATCTTTTTAAATATAAAGTGTTTTCAGTGTGAATTTTTTGAAAGGTCTATATTGTTTAAATTAGTCAGAAAATCCATGTGGTTCTACAATGAAACAACTGCTAGTTAACTCAGGGCAATAAGTATACGATTTTATTTTCAGATGTTACTTAGTCATAGTAATATTTGAAATACAAAAGTCCCTAGATATTTTTTTGGCAGCTTAATAATTACCTTTGAATACTTCAATGAGGTTAGATACAGTAAGGAGATTGATTAAGTGCTTGTTGGCTGTTATTTTACAAATTCTAAATAGTTACTTTTATTATAAAAATTAGCACCAGTAATAAGCATCATTTGGTTAAAATATTCCTGTTTCATTTTTACTTCTGAGCTTTGATTTGGTTTCTATTTTTGTTAGATTAGTCAGTGCATCATACGGATGTGACAGCATTCTGTAGGCATGTTAAAACCTCTTTACTGTACTAGAAATCTCATTTGTTATTAAAATACAGTGTTAAGGATGTACAGACTTCTTTCACTGTGTATGCTACTTAATGAAATGGTAATTTGTATTTTATGTTCTCTAGGAATGCTTCTGCACAATGAACTTTTGTTTCCTAAAGGAAAAAACTGAAACCTGATTTCAGCAATTCTGAGGTCATCAGATTAAAAAAGAGTCTCACTTTCTAGAAAGACATACCATCTAAAGTAGTCTATAGTGTTAGACCACCTTTTCCAAAGGAGAATCACCGAGGACAAAGCCCACAAAACACAAAAGGAGTTGGTTATTCAGGTTTATTTTAGTTGGCCGGATGACCCCTCCCGAGCACCCAAAGAGTCCTCGGAAGAGCGCCCCACCAGCCATAGCTCAGGGTTTATATAGGGAGAGAGGTGAAGCCGGTGTACGGAAGCGAGAATTTTGCATTTAGAGGCGGGGGTTGCTTAACAGTTGCTTGAAGAACATTTTGACCGTTCTAATCACAATGATCACTAAAGATTTACATCTCAGGGGCTTGCTGCAGCCAGGAGGAGCTAGGTTGCTCAACCCTTGACCTTTTACCCGAATAGTTTGAGATCAAACAATGGTTGGTATCCTCATTTGCAAGCCCCTCACCTTTTGGCCCAAGGGAGTTTTTACAATAGGAGCCAGCAAAATTTAGTTATAAACTCAAAATTGTATCATTTTCCATTCTCTGATCCTTGAAGATAATTTATCAAAGAACTCTGCAAGGATTCATTGTGTTTGAACCCATGTCACGTTTTCTTTAGAGCAGGGGTGACGATGTCATACATGCCCATTTCCCCATAAGAAGTTTCTTTCTCTTGCTTATGGCATAGATCTCTCATTCAGTAAAGCCCCGTCAAAATCAGAGCTTCATGTAGCCATCACCTGTTGACTGGAGTTGGAATGGGAATCAAAATGTATTTCTTTGCTGTCCAGGTGAAAATTTTGATGAGTTCTTCAGTTTCCACAATGGTGCCAACTGTACTGTAGTAACCAGTAATAAGAGGTGTATGTTCTCAGTTTGTACTTTCACAAGAATACCTAGTCCATAGCTCTTCCTCAGCTTTAAGATTTTATGGGCCTAAGTTGTCAGAAGGCCAATTAATACATCTAAATATAAATGCCCCTTTTCCATTTAATAAAACAAATGTAGTTTCTGTGGATTTTGAATGAATGTGTTATGTTGAATTGAAACATGGAGAAGCTTGGAGAATTGAAACATGAGGAAGATACAGCTTTGCCTTTATAGAACTCAGAATTTAATGTGGGAGACACACACTGACTATATTAAAATATCATAAGTTCTACACGATGGTGTGAAAAAATGTTATAGAAAACGTGAATGGCATTTGAATTCATCTCTGAAAGTTGGTTAACTGACATGGGTTGAGAACATAATTAAAAAGATATTTTATTCTTATTTTTAAAAATATTTTAAAGTTTATTTATTTTGAGAGAGAGAGAGAGAGAGAGCACCAGTGGGGGAGGGGCATGGAGAGGGAGACAGAGAGAATCCCAAGCTGACTCTGCATTGTCAGTGCAGAGCCTGATGCAGGGCTTGATCTCACTAACCATGAGATCATGACCTGAGCCAAAATCTAGAGTCAGATGCTTAACCAACTGGGCCATCCAGGTGCCCCTATATATATATATTTTTTTAATGTGTTCTTCACCTGGTGTCTCAACAATACTCATGAATTAATGAAAAACCAAATGGAATAGTATATATAAACAGATTTTTGCTCAATGGAAACCTGAAGGCATTAACTTTTACTTATGTTGAATAAAATGCCTAAGTTTAGAGTAGGTCTGTTGGACAGAAGAGTAAGGTTTTAAAGAACAATGAATGTACTTTTCTAATTTCAAGCATGTTCTCTTGGGTCAAACAACACAAGCTGTCTTTAAAATTGTTTCCTTGGGGCGCCTGGGTGGCTCAGTCAGTTAAGCGTCTGACTGCAGCTCAGGTCATGATCTCGCGGTTCGTGGGTTCCAGCCCCACATTGGGCTCTATGCTGACAGCTAGCTCAGAGCCTGGAGCCTGCTTTTGATTCTGTGTCTCCCTCTCTCTCTGACCCTTCCCTGCTCATGCTCTCTTGCTCTCTCTCAGAAATAAATAAAAAAACATTAAAAACTTTTAAAAAAATAAAATTGTTTCCTGTGGCCCCCAGCCCCCAAGCCACAGCTGTGTATTTATTTTTCTCTTCTCTGTGGCTTAAAAGCTGTGGCATACATTTTGTCCATGTAGTATGAAATGCTGTGATGGCTAGAACATGACTCCATTATCTGAAATCAGTTGCAATAATTGTTATAGTACTGACCAGTAAAAGAAAGACCCTCACAGATGAAAATGAAATATGATGGGCAGTCTAACTTATTTCACTATACTGTTGCCATGGCTGGGATAGATTGTATTTGACAAAAGGAAAGTGGGACAGACTGTCTTAACTGTAGACCAAGGACCCTACCACTTGTTCTTCTTGCTAAAATGACTAGATTTACTCTTGGGTGAACACATCTAAGTTTGTCTAATCACATAATTTGAGGAATGCCATTTGTGACTGTGTAAAGTATATGAAGCAACAGCCAGAACTATGTACTGAACTAAAGTAATTTGAATTCTCCTAGAAGAGCATCTCTCACCCAGCTTTGGCTGTCTCTCAGACCTGGACCTTTACTGTAGAGACTTGAGTGAGGGTTCTGTTTATAGTTTTAACTTAAAGACTGACAGTTTAACCTAAGGACCAAGAATGTATTCTCCTGCTTTTATTAAAGTTAGTAACCCCTCTGCAAGCCTAAAGGCTCACATGTTAAGTGAAGTTATCAAATTCCCCCAGGTAAAACTAAGACTGACTATGAGTGTTTTTCTTTAACTGCAATGACATCCAATATATCTATTTTTTTCTTTTGTTGTTTGTGCTTGATGTCATAACTAAGAAATCATTGCTTAATCCAAAGCTATGAAGATTTAGTCTAGGTTTTCTTCTAAAGTTTTATGTTCACAGTATAATTTTAATATTCTCTTTAGATATGCCCAAAGACCCTTCTACCAAACACAGAAGAAAGTCAAGAATCTATGGTGTTTTTCATTTGCAACGGAGGTAAACCTCCCCACCTAGAAGTTCCTGTTTTTACTACTTTTTAAACAAATTTTAATATTTATTCATTTTTGAGAAACAGTGTTAGCAGAGGAGGGGCAGAGAGAGAGGGGAACACAGAATCCAAAGTAGGCTCCAGGCTCCAAGCTGTCAGCAGTGAGCCCAATGTGGGTCTCAAACCCATGAACCATGAGATCATGACCTGAGCTGAAACCAAGAGCCTGACACAACTGAGCCCACCCAGGCACCCCTACTTTTACTACTTCTTATCCATTTCCCAGACGTGTGATTGAAAGGACCTTAGTTCTAAACCCCGTAAAGAATTCAAATGTAAATGTAGTGGCTCAGGGATATTTGGGAAGCTTGTGCTGTGGGCTGGGAGCAAATCAAATGAGATCACCCAGGCCTGTAAAGAGCTCATAGGCAGTAGGGACACAATCAGAAACAGGAACAGGGTCAGCACTTTGGTAAGAGCGGCCCCTCATAACGCAGTGGGGTTGGAGTGAAGGACAGAATGCAAAACCATGCCAAGGCCCAAAGCTGACAAGAAAATATTTCCAAGAACTACAAAGAGCTCATTATGGGGGATCAGGAAGGGCGGTAAGCAAGCGAGAACAAGAGAAACAGATGTTCCAGTGAGCTTTTAGCCGGAAAGGTGAAGTACCATGACCAAAATATAGTGCTAGGTGCCCTGGACACAAAGGGAAGGCCCAGCCTCCCTATGGCTAAAGAAGTTTAGAATGATGACGCCTCCCATCCTTCTCTGATGCTGGCACTAGTTAGTATACTTTCACTTCATAGAAGACCAACTCATTAACAACCTTGGCCTTTCAGTTTGCCAAGTGCTCAGGGGAGAAATTTAAGTTTAAATTTTTAAGCAGCAGAGAGGCTTGGAAACAGTTTATAGTTTAAAGTATCTAAATTGCTTATTTAAAGAATTTTTAAAAAAATTTTTAATGTTTATTTTTGAGAGAGAGACAGAGACAGAGTGCGAGCAGGGGAGGAGCAGAGAGAGAGGAAGACACAGAAACAAGCAGGCTCCAGGCTCTGAGCTGTCAGCACAGAGCCCGATGCGGGGCTCAAATCCACGAACAGTGAGATCATGACCTGAGTCAAAGTCAGACGGTTAACCAACTGAGCCACCCAGGCGCCCCTAAAGAATTTTTAAAAGACAGATTGAATACAACCCCAGCCTATAATTTTGGTATATCTATGTTCCAGAAAAGGTTTAAGATAAGCTAAATGTTACTATGTTATATTCTGTAAATTTTAGGCACAGAAATAAGTCTTCACCGGAGCAAATGATACGCCACTTATGATAAAATATTGCTAGGAACAGAAAGTTGTGAAGATGAAATTTTGTGTAGCTGAATGATTTACAATCAAGAATGTTTACTTTTGCATACAAAAGAGGAATCATGTTCAGCTTTTCTAATACAGTTATACAGATAATTGTGGAAAAACAAGGACACTTGATCCTTTTCCTGAATTAGCAATAGTAGACACCTAGAAAGGAGTAAGTAGGTCCTCTCATAAAGGTCTCAATTTCCTTACAAAAGAAAATGACATAATGAAAACTGCTAATTAAGGGAAAAGAAACTAATAATATAACCACTCAGTGTCCATAATACCTTTGCTGTTTACAAAGGAACTTCCATACAGTTTTGATCCTCACAACCACCCTGTGAGGCAGACGGGTTTCAGTTATTCATTTTAATGAAGTGTTTCCTCCATCAGCACTGAAAAATGCCCAGAGAAGTTTGCTCTTAGACCCCAGTTTCCATGTATTTATATAATCAAAGTTTTTAAAAAAGATGTTTTTTCTGACTGACTTTAGTTTCAGAGCAGCATTAAACATTTATTTTCACAACCTATCCTTTACAAAGACAATAAGAAATTTCTGAAGTCTACTTTTGAATTCTTTTGGGATTCACTCTGACTAAGCAACATTTTTAATTTAGATAAGTGTTTCTTAGTTTTGCTCGTGCTCTTTGAGGAGCAAGTGGGTGTTGACTGTCCAGATGTCGGTGTCCTGAAAACAAACATAAAACCACATTTAGGTGTACTAATAAGTTAGTTTTAAAAGTGTTTTTCGTGCTTAGCCTAGATTATTACTCCTGGAATCTTTTTCTACTCTTGTATATAATAGCCATATACGAGCAGTGGCTGGACCCAGCATTCATTCCCATTTTGTTAAAAACTTCCTCACTACAAAGGCTCTAGGCAATATTCAGGAGCTATGCTGGGTGGTTCTGGAAGGTGCCATCAAACCTGAAAAAGGCTAAAGGTAAAGTGTCATCAGGTCAGAGTTCCCTTTAAGTCTGACATCAAGATTCATGACAATTCTAAAGACTTTAAAAACCCATTTCTTCACAGCTCAAGATCACTTCCTTTCTCAAAAGGGAAGAACCTCAACCTCCAGATGCAGGTACCACTCCATCGTATCTCCCCACCTACGTGAGCTCCACAGGGTGGACTCTGTACTACTAGTTGTGTATCCCACCGCTTCTTAATGGAGTCAGGCACAGAAGGGGTCCTCTAAAAATATTCCAGCTACTGTGTGTGCATTTCTGTTTCCTTCTATTTCATGCCATGTAGTTGTGTCCCACACCCACAAACCCTTATCGGGGTTTATCAATCTGATCCCTCTTCTGCTTCCCATCTGTAGGATAAATGTGAAACATCTTTCCCATTTCTGCATACATCTAAAAAGTGGTCTGGTCTAAATGCAAGTTATTTTAAATATGCCAAATTCTCTTTTATCTAAATTTGTCCAAAAAAGTAGAAACTTCTATGATGAATTCCTATCAGCCAAATATTGAAATAATTAAATCAAAATATAGAGAAAACTGGACTTGAAATTTTAATTCTTACCCAATTTGATAAATGTCAAAACCAATATTAAACACTCAATTCAGTAAACAGAGATAATTTAGTCTTTGCTGAATTCTTTAAGAAACTACCAGACTGTTTCTCTTTTGGCACAAAATGTTCAAAAATTCCTTTCCCAGTTTCTATGAAACTAAATTTACTGACTATCAAAGTGAATATAGTACTGTGAACTACAAAAATAAGACATGTGCTCAGTCATACAGTTAACTTAGTAGCATGTGACAAATCCCTATCCAGTGAGATTTCCACAGGAATTCTGACAGAAAATCTGAGGAGATACCAAGAACAAAGGTTTAGAGTAGGAAAGTAAATTGAGTGGTTTAGTTTTGCTGACACGTAAGATGAATTAAGACAAAGTAAAACAGGCAGACGGATTGGTGCCACGTAGTAAGGGCTGGGAAGCCAGGCTGGAACATCTGACCTACACGCCACAGAGTGAAGTATGAAAGGCTTCTAATCACAGCTGTGCATTAGGGAAATAATCAGGCTAGAAGGGTCTGAAACTAGAAGCAGGAAATTACTGTAGTAATCCCAGCAAAAGGTGGATACAGACCTGAACACAGCAGAAGGAAAAAAAAAAAGAACAGGAGTAAACACCATGGAGATAAGACAGATGGAAACCGGCAACTGGACAAGGGCCAAGGGAGTAGGAACTGTCAACTCTACTCACCATGTCAGGTCAGAATGTCAAGGGCATGCTCACTGACAGAATAAGGAACTTAGGAGGATGGAGAGTTTGGAGTAGTCAGCTGTGGGGACATGTTGGGGGGTAAAGTAGATGTATTTAGCAGGCAGCTGGGAACAGGGCCAGGAGAAATTGGAAGTAGAAGAATATAACTGGAAGTTACAAGCAAAGAGGAGAATGAAAGACACGGGAGCAAAAGACATTAGAAAAGAAAAGGGTATGGATGGAAAAAAGGGGGTCAAGGCCTGAACTGCGTGGCAAATTTAGGGAGTGTATACTAAACAAAGGAAATCAGAAGAAATAAGAGTTAACACCAGCAATTCAAATAGCTTGATGAATTCAGATACCTGAATACAAAGGCTGGGCTCTTGCCTTTGGAACCACACATATGATTTAGGTTTGTAGAACTTGGAGTCCTCCTCTCTGGTGTCTTCAGGCCGAGTTTAGTCATAGGAGTGGTAGGACTGCTCTTCAGTGAAGATAAAAAGCTTCTGCTTTTACCATGATGTTTAACTGTTCTGTTGCATGTTTTACAAGTAATCAACTACCATAAAAAAAAGAAAAGAAAAGAAAAGAAAAGAAAAGAAAAGAAAGAAAGAAAGAAAGAAAGAAAGAAAGAAAGAAAGAAAGAAAGAAAGAAAGAAAGAAAGAAAGAAAGNTAAACCACGAAAATGTGTCTTGTTTTAAATTCCCATGGACAAAATTAGTATGAGTCCTGAACCACTGTTTCCTGTGGAAAATACTAGCCCACTGCTGGGAATAAGTTTTCCCCTAAAAACTTGCTATTATTATAGAACAGTTTTGACAACAGTACTGATAGTAGTAAAGGATTTGGGGGGCTCATTTTTGTATTATTATGCAAAAACAAAGTTCACTGAACAAAGTTCAATAAGCTCTTATCATCTTAGATTTTGAATAACATTTATTCAAGAATAAATAAGAATAGACTAAGGAAAGCTTGTGGTAAATATTTCTATCTTTCTCTTTGTATTTCTTTTGTCTTTCTTTCTAATAGTAACATACATTAATCCAATAGGTGCATTCAGCAGGTAGGCCTTCCTAAATGAAGAAACTCGAGAGTTTCTCTGGGAGAGAAAGTAAATGTAGAACCTAGAAGAAAAAAACATACCTATCAATAAAGTCAAACGTTGTTAATTTAAATAATTTTTTTTTTTTCAGAGCAGCATTAAACATTTATTTTCACAACCTATCCTTTACAAAGACAATAAGAAATTTCTGAAGTCTACTTTTGAATTCTTTTGGGATTCACTCTGACTAAGCAACATTTTTAATTTAGATAAGTGTTTCTTAGTTTTGCTCGTGCTCTTTGAGGAGCAAGTGGGTGTTGACTGTCCAGATGTCGGTGTCCTGAATACAAAGGCTGGGCTCTTGCCTTTGGAACCACACATATGATTTAGGTTTGTAGAACTTGGAGTCCTCCTCTCTGGTGTCTTCAGGCCGAGTTTAGTCATAGGAGTGGTAGGACTGCTCTTCAGTGAAGATAAAAAGCTTCTGCTTTTACCATGATGTTTAACTGTTCTGTTGCATGTTTTACAAGTAATCAACAATATACTTTTGGAGTCTTTGTATTTTTTCACAATTTTTGCTTCTTTAAAACTGAGTGTACAATTTCTTGCCTCTTGGTTAAGAAGTTTCTGTATTTTGGGTGTCAGTTTGGATTTGGGTTTGAGGCGCACTCGAGAGTTATCGAAGACCAGCAACTGGAAACAGTATGGACATGTTCCTTCAAAAGTGTCATTATCTGAAATGATACAAATCAAACTCAAGATTCAGTTCATCAGAATATTTTGTTACCTCAAGCCAATATTATGTGAAAAAGTGTATTATTTAAAATGAACAGATACAGATTTCCCTTAAGCAAACTCAAAGTAGGAGAACTTACAAAAATATATATTGGCAATAATTTATTCTGCAAAACACTGTAATTCTATCCATTCATTCCTTTTAGCGACAGGTTCAGTCCCCACTCTTTGCATGTTACTCATTACTTGTTACTAAGTAAAAAAGACTATCTCACCAATTTTACATATTTATCATAAAGCAATGTTATACTGTGATGGTTTCTTTTTTACACAATTAGCACAATTTTGTGATTTGTGGACCAGGCTTTCTGCAGATAACTCTCAGTGCAAGGTAACAGGACAACAAACTTGCCCAGACTGTTTATGCAATCAAGAGAGCCATCTACTACCCTGGGCTAGGGAGACATAAATATGGAGTATAAGAGTTGCTATCTCTTTTTTTTTTGTTAATAGTTTATTCATTTTTAAGACAGAGAGAGACCACGAGCAGGGGAGGGCAAGGGAGAGAGGGAGACACAGAATCTGAAGCAGGCTCCAGGCTCTGAGCTGTCAGCACAGAGCCCAATGTGGGGCTCAAACCCACAAACCGGGAGATCATGACCTGAGCTGACGTCGGACGCTTAACCAACTGAGCCACCCAAGCAGCCAAGAGTTGCTATCTTTAAAGAACTCACATTCTGGGAGGTCCCTAAGCAAAAAAATACACTTCTGGTAAGAACTATAACAGAATGTAAGTAAAATGCCCTGGAAATTATTAAACTCTGTATGGACCAGCCAGAAACACTACAAAGAAGTGGCCTAAGGTAAAATGCTTGTATTTAGAGGGCATCTATTATTAGGAAAGGGCTTACAGGCAGAAGTACGGTGAAAAAGAAAGCATGGCTATTAGGGAAAGGTGAGGTTGTGGAAGTGATGCAGTTGAAAAGGAAGATGGGCACACCATCGATTTATTCAATAAATATTTATTGATGAGCACTCTACATATACAGTTAAGACCTTGCTTGTACTCAGCTCTGCCAAATGTTAAATTCATTCACATTTATTAGTGACTGTAAAGTGCTAGGCAGAGTTCTGGGTGCAAGAGATAGAACAGTGAATAAAGGACAATTCATAGAGAGAGAAAGTAAATATAGCAACACCAAATGTCAAGTGCTGGGAAGATAAAAGGGGAATAAGGAGTGGCAATAGAGGTGCTGAAGTCTTTTTTTTAGTTTATTTTTACTTATTTTGAGAGACAGAAAAATGAGTGGGGGATGGGCAGAGAAAGAGAGAGGGGCACCTAGATGGCTCAGTCAGTTAAGAGTCTGACTTCAGCTCAGGTCATGATCTCCAGGGTTTTGAGTTCGAGCCCTGCGATGGGCTCTGTTTTGACAGCTCAGAGCCTCGAGCCTGCTTCGGATTCTGTGTCTTCCTCTCTCTCTCTTAAAAATAAATAAACATTAAGAAAGAAAAAAGAAAAAAAAAAGGGAGAGAGAATTCCGAGGAGGCTCTCTGCTGTCAGCACAGAGCCCAACTCTGGGCTCAAACTCATGAACTCTGAGATCATGACCTGGGCCAAAATCAAGAGTCAGATGCTTAACCAACTGAGCCATCCACGTGCCCATAGAGCTGCTGTAGTCTTACATAAGGCAGCCACGGAAAGTTCTGTGGAATGATATCTGTAGAAAGCAGAAGGAGCGAGAATGGAATCCAGGAAGATACATGAGGTAAGAATTCCAGGTAGAAGGAAGGACAGTGGGAAAGGCTGCGGAAGAGCAAGGAAGCCTAACAGTGGTTGAAGTTGAGTAAACAAAAAAAAAGAGCAGGTTGGGGAGGTGACTTTGGCCTTTGATGTAGGTGCCTGTAGTACTTTTAAAAGATTTTCACTTTTACTCGGAGATGGGAAGTCATTTGAGAGTTTGTAGCAAAGAAGAACATGATCTAGCTTAGGTTTCTACGGGCTCACTCTGGCTGCTCAATTCGGAATGGACTGTAGATACGCAGGAGAGATGGCAACTGGTCCAGGATGGTAAGGTGATAAGTGATGGTGATAAGTGGCTAGATTCTGGATATATTTTAAAGCCAAGAGGATTTGCTGGCATTTTGGCTTGGGGAGGAAGGCTGTTAGGGAGTCAACAATGGCCCCAGGGTTTGGGGGCTGAATAACTCTAAGGATGGAATTACCACTGACTTAATTGGTAACAACTGGCGGAGGGCTGGGTTGGGGGGTAAAACTCGAGTTTTGGCCTAAGAGACACTCAAAAGAAGTTGTCAAGAAGGCATGTGGATAGGAGTCTAGAATGAGAAGTCCTGGTTGGGGGTGTAAGTATGGAAGTCTTCAGCATACAGAATTTAAAAGCCATGAGACTGGATGAAAAACTATCACAAAGGAAGTGCGGTTAAATAGAAAAGAGGTCCAAGGAAATTGGATTTTTCACGAAACAGAAGCTTCGCGGCGGGGGAGGGGACAGTGCAGGGAGGCGGTTAAGAGGGAAGTGGGTTGATGAGACTTCTCTTTGGGGTCATCCTAAGCGCTGTGCGGAATGAAGGCGAGCGGGGCGACGAGCGCCTGACCCACAACCGTCGGACGTCCTCCCTACCGTGTGACGAACTGTAGGTCCAGCTGTAAAGGAGAAGGAGAGTCGTGAGCGAAGAGGGAAGGCCCCGCCGCCGCCGCCGCCCGCATCCCCTCCTGCCCCTTTCTTACAGAAGATAGCGGGCCTGGCCCGGACAGCTCTCGTGCAGTTGCCGCGCCGCAGCCTCAATGTAGTGCTTCTGCCTCATCCCTACCGCCTCCCCCACCCGGCTAAGCCTGGGAGACGATAGGAGACTCCGGAAGCCGGCTTCCCAGCGCGCCCGGCTCCGACCTCGGAATCCACGCTCCCTCCGGAAACAGGGGCCCGCAGCAGAGGAGTTCCGGTCTCCCTCGAGTCCCGCCCCGCGCGCAGGCCGACCCTCTTCCCCGCCCTTGGCCCTGCCCCCAGGCTCCGCCTCGTCCCCGCGGGCCGGCGCGGGTCTGCCTCAGACCAGCGCTTGCGCGGAGCGGCGAGACGCGGTGTGGTTCGGGGCGTTGGAAGCGACTGTCCGGCCCCCCTCACTTTGGCTCCCTGTGGCGTCCATTGCGGTGCCTCTGTGGTGGTTTCCTCAGCCCACGCCGCCTTCTAGATTCTCCATCGAGAGTGTTGACTCGATGACCCGCAAGGAGGCCACCGGGGTAAGCGCGGCACGGGCCAGCCCGCTCTCAGTGCACGAGCGAGCTTACCTTCAACCCGGTTAATTGAAGTGACCTACACGTAGGAAAGTGTTGGCAATTCAGTACATTTTCAGTGTTGCGCAAACACCATGGTTACCTAGTTTGGAAACATTTCTATCACCCTAAAGGAAACCCTTTCCCTTTTAGCAGTTGCTTCCCATTCTTCCATCCCTCCAGCCCCTGGCGACAACTGGTCTGCTTTCTGAATCTGGGTTTATTCTCGTCATTTCTTATAAGTGGAATCATACCTGTCGTGTTTTGTGTCCGGCCTCTTCCACTTAGTATATGTTTATGATGTTCATTCACCATATATTTATATGCATATAAATATATTATTATATATGATATAATATTAAGTCTATATTATATATTATGATATGACATGTAATGTTATTAAATATATATTAAAACATAAATATATAATACATAAAAATATATATAATGTTTATGATCATTCACCTTGTAGCTTATATCAAAACTTCATTCCCTTTCATGACTGAATATTACATCGTATGTATACCAAGTAGTGTTTATTCATTCATCAACGATAGACAGTTGGATTATTTCCTTTTGGCTGCTGTGGATAGTGCCGCTGTGAACATGAATGCTTTCTATTTTTTTGGATAAATATCTAGGAGTGAAAATGCTGGGTCATATGGTAATTCCATGTTTAACAAGGATTCCAATTTCTCCACATCCTCACCAACCCTCATTTTCCACCTTGGTTTTTGTTTTGTGGTGTTGTGTTTCTAGTGTAACCATCCAGTGAGTGTGAAGTGGCTTCTCACT